ATTAGTAAAACTATATATACTATATATACATAATATATATTTTTAAATCAGCCAATCAGAATTGTCTTATGTGGGGGGGAGGGGGGTACCCTCATAGTAAATGTATATTACGTAATATCTGTCAGCGCCCTAATTAAAAATGATTAATTGGTTTATAATTCGAACTGTATTATAATTAGAGCGTTGTTATTCATAGCAACCTGCAATATCGCAGATTACATGATCTAATAATATAACATAAAAATTAATCTAAAATTATTTATACGTAATAAATTAAATTAAATAAACAACTTTATTACATATCTGATATATACTTATAACCTAACAAGTTTTAGGGATTTTTATTGATATGTATTATATCCGCAAATCTACATATTAACACCTATATATTTTATAAGAAACCCAGATTATATACTATCCGGGTATATCAAAAAACCAGTATAGATAAAAAGAAATCGTGGACGTATGTACATATCGTAGCAAAAGTTATTTATCAACAATTAAGCATATTGATTAAAACCTGCAAATAACATACCGATATATCATATATACGTATACATATATAAATTTATAAAGATAGTGTTGATACATAATATGAAATTATTTATATAATATGTTCATCACCACTTGTCTAGCCTTGAGTTGCTTTCAAGGATCACATGCTTGAGACTAGCCTGAAAATATATTGTACTGCTTGCAATAAATGCATGTTCCATAATCCTTTTATCTTTTAGAACTAGATTTATTTATTATTACTATCATATATCTGTTAATGTCTTCAGTTATTCCATATACAAGCTGTTATATATTTTGATACTTTATCTTTCATGCTATAAAATTCCTGTCTCTGGTAACGTAATTAAGTATATACTATATGAGTATTGACAAAGAGCATTAACATTAGTTAAAAATTCTTAATATTTCAATGAATATATACATACTATACAATGTTAAAATAGCTTTTCAATTAAGATGAAAATTTGAACATGATAGTATGATAAATTTGATGAATATAGTCATAACAAAGATTATATTAATTTCTAATTCTCAAAGTAAATATATTTTCTTGACCATAATACATTCAAGTATAAGCTAATTCCAATCTAAAATACTGCAATTAACTAACATATTATTATACAATTTACCAAACTAACTTTAACACTAAGCTAGTCATATCAAGCTATTTAAAATTGTTAATGAATATGAATTACTTAAAGTGATTTTTGGGGAATTTGCAAGTAGAATTGTAATGTCCAGTTCCATAACAATTTTTACAATGTCGGGTTCCTAATTTCAGTTTAATATTATTATTATCAGTTTTAACATTAGCACATTTTTTTGGTTTTGAATTTTCTTTTTGTTCTATATTTAAATCCTGAAGACTATCTTGTTGTACAGAATTTGACCCTTTGGGATGACCCTTATGCTTTAGCTTTTTTGGATTTTCAATTTGAGTGATATCAACATCTATTCATTAACTAGTACTAACACCAGTGTGGTTTTCAATAAATCTTGAAATCAGCCCAACAAACTCATCAACCAAACCATTGTCAATGGCAAATTTTAACCCACTTTTAGCAATGCCATACTTTTGCTTTTGTGTAATATTTTTACAAATTTTAGACTGATATATATCTGGCCTACAAATAGATATTACTTGATTCATTTCTATAACTGTTTTATGTTCTGCAGTTGTACCTGTAATTGGCAATGTACTAGATTCTTGTATTGGATCGGAATACCAACATTTTGGTATAAGCTTAATATTGAATTTTGCATTATTGGACATTTTAAAAACACTAAAAAAATATCTACAATAAAATCCATAAGAAATAATATAAAGGCATGTGCAAATATAAGTGTTATCAGCTAAAAGAATAAGGTAGTGAAGATAGCTATGAACATGTTGGTCAAATAATGACACTCTCCAAATCTCCAAAATATTTTCGTGGTTTACCATCTTTATAATAGTCTCAAGTGAGGCTTGTAATGCGTCATATTCATCTTCCAAATACCCCTCTGAGTATTCATGAGCTTTAGGTGGCTGAATAAACATGGTAATATTATATAAATTAATTAATAAGATAGTAACTATAAAATAAAAGTATGTAGTCCAAATCATACATACTGAAACTAAATTATTAGAAGTTTTAACCAAAAATGCCCAATATAAAACACTCTGAAATATTTGAGTATTTTGAACAAATACTAATTTGGATGTCAAATACTTTTCAATTTTATCTTGAATAGATTTAAAAAAAACACTCTGAAGACTTGGCAACTTCGTGTAGATAATGTATTTCTATATTAAGAAAATTGTTGATGTTGTGCTTTACAATCAAGTTTGGTTTGAATAGCCTTACATAAATTAAGTAGTGTCGTTTTTGCACCAACCTCATTTTTGATAACACTATTCATATTTTCTACTCTCTAAGTGCTTTGTATTTCAACACAAAATGTAGTAAATACATAAATCTTCGCCCATAATTCTCATATTCTCCAAAGTTGCTGCAAATAATTTTGCCTCATAGAATATTGAACTAATAATTCTCTCCAATTGTGCTCTAATTCAATTTCACTATGGCTATTACGACATCAGAACCAGCTTTGTAAAAAATTATTATAAGAGTTTTCTAATTTTCAAGATAATTTTTTTGCAAGATTTGTCTGTATATGAAATATATAATAATTATGCTTTGAACTAGGAAATACTTGATTAATAGCAGAGATCATTGCAAAATCAGCATCAGTAAAAATTGCCCTTGGAGATAAGTTATCTGTTGCTTTGAGTATACAATTTAGAATTCAAATATAAAAACCAATGGTTTCATCTTGAACAAAAGACTACGCAACAAGCCTAGTTTAATAATAATTGTCAACAACTACAAACAAATTTAAAAGTATATTATATATATTTGTTTTGGCCATATTATCATTGACTACCACGTCATGATAATATTTCCATAATTCTATCTGTGTAGGTGTTATCCAAAAAAGTCAGAAAAAATTGTTATCAATTTCCTCAAACTTAATATAAATAGCCCATCCGAGCTCTTGTTCTTGTTGTTGCATTAACCATTTTACTATATCTGCTGTATCATTTTCTTTTTTGTTATCTATTTGATTTCTATATCTATGTATAGCATTATACAAATTACGATCATATAATGGTTGGTTAGAGAATTTTTTTGACAAATACCAATGTTGAGCTTTGACTCCAAGATTACACTCTTGTGTTAAAAACTTTATTGCATCAAAAACTTCTTGTGAAAATGAGTGTAAACTTGGAGCAAATTCTTTTCTATATGGTGTGAGTAGATGATTATGCTTCTCAACAAGCTTGTTAATAACTACAGCATTTTCACTTTTACAAAAACCAGCATTTAGTTGCCATTGGCATCCAATTTTTTTTGATAATTTATCTTTTTGACATGTAGTATCAATCTTTTTTTAGATTGATGTTCTCCAAAATTTTCACAAATAAAATATCACTGAATTATTTCACTACTATATTACATTCCATTTGATGTTTTATTAATTTAAATCCAATCTCCAATTCATATCTTTTTAATGCATATTCTAAAGACTCCTAGCTAGAAAAAGAAGTCCTGTCTTGAATTTTTCATTATTTTTATTATCAGATTCATTTTCACTTTGTTGCTTATCATTCGAACCTATAGGTTTCTCAAATGTAATACTATTAAACTGCTTGTCAATTGTGTTGGTAGAAATAGTTAATATATCATGAGTTATTACAAATGCTATATAGTAAATAAATAGTAAATAACTTAGAATTATAAGAGAGCACATAAACCATGCTTTATAAGTAAATAATAGGTAGAATTTACCATTTTGTTCTTTATTATAGATATTAATATCTAGATCATTGAAGATATTTGTGTCTAGATTATTAAAGATATTAATATTCATATCATTAAAGCTTGGATAATTAAAGATATTATTGTCCAGATCAAGATCTGAAAAATCTATAGCAACGTTGTTTTCTATGACATGAAACTATAAAGAAGTATGATATTACATTAGACTGTACTGCTTATATATCTATCACATACTCATTGACACTTATTGATCTTACCATATAACACAAAAAACTATTCTTTCAAATTTCAAGACTAGTATTTTTTTAGTTCTTTTTTGTTTTGCTGATAGATAATTGCTCAAAAAAAAAAGTACTTCTAGAAATTTCAAGACTAGCCAATTCTTCTCTCAGGTTGTTGCTCTACACCAAAATAAAATTAATTTCTAATTAAGTATTTATTGCATAGTAAGTCTATTTTGCACTTACTTGGTAGTATTGGTAGTCTATAGTTTTTTTTACACTTTATTAACACTACTTTACACAAGGTCTAAATAAAAAAAAAGTTTTTACAAACTTCAAGGCCGGTCGATTCCTTGTTACTCTATATGTGAAATTAAAGTATAATTACTATAATCACCTGATTTAATACATCATATATAATAAGTTTTACTTGCACTCACTTGAAAGTTACTATTCTCTCATTCTTCACTAACACTACTTTCTCACAAGCCTCAAAGAAAAAAAAAAGGCTTTTACAAACTTCAAAACTGCTCAATTACCCTTTTAAGTTGTTTCTCTACCATTAAAATTAAAGTAATCATCTGATACAGCACTCTTTGTAATACGGTTTACTTTACGCACCTAACAACTAAGAATGTGTTAATTTCTTATGCACTTCACTAATACTATTCAAAAAAAAAAAATTTGATTACAATTTCAAAATCGGCTGATTTCTCTTTTAGATTGTTGCCTATATCAAAGTTAAAAAATAATGCTATTATTGCTGACATGTAGTAAGTTTTACTTTGCACTTCCTTTATAGCTTAGTTTTTTTGTTCACAATATTTTTTTTGTTATATAGTAATATAAATGTCTAGTTTGTACTGCGTTCACAAATGACTTGCTATAAACACTTTAATCGTTTACTATTCTAAGTGTAAGAAAGCCTAATTATTTATTCGATTATGCTCTATTTATTTATTTCAATATGTATGCATGTTTTATATAGCAATTATATAATTTGTTTTACATTACTAATTGGGTTAACAATGTATACTCCAACTACTAAATCTAGTACTGCAGAACATGTGTACGTCATCATACCCGTGATATCGCAACCTGTGAAAAATATAAATTTTCTATAATTAATTTCTAATTCTTTTCAAATACTATTCGATTGTTTCATTTAGCAAATAAATTGTTTTATTAATATATACTTTTCTCAGAATTTACTAACTAAATTCTGTATATTAAATTTATATTAGATTTTCAAATGAGCTAAGTAGTTTAATATTTATATAAAAAAAATACCAATATAGCAAACAATGTATATAAATGATACCAAATAAAGAGAAACTGGATTTCAGGTCATTATTTAATACTGGTAATTATTTATTTACTGTATTTAGGCTAAAGAAACTTTATACACAGAATGGATATACAATATAGATCATCGTCTTGGAAATCACGTGACAGTAAAATCGATCCTATGCCCTTGCATAGTCATACCTTATTATAATCATAGTACCTTATTATAGTATTTTAATATAATATCTTATTATAGTACTTTACTATAGTACCTTGATATATAGTACTTTGATATGTTTCTAAGGTAACAATAACACATTCTTAGCATGTCAAAAAGCTATATAAACTCTGTCTTTTTTCCCAAGGCAGGTTAGGTTTTTCTATCTAAGCTTTTATTAAAAGTTCCTTTTTATCTTAAAGCCCTTTCTTTGGCTTAGATTTCTACCTTCAAGTTTTGTTCTTTATCTAATAAACTGATACTTATTTTTGGCTATATACCCACTATGTTGTATATATCTTTTATCCTTTATCCTTTATATTGTGAAAGCTCTTTTCATTGTGTTTTTATTATATTTTTGTTTAGTTTTAGTTTTGTTTTTGTCCTTCACCTATTATGTTGTAAAGGCTTCTTTTATTGTATTTATTTTATATTTTTGTTTTGTTTTGGTTTTGTTTTTATCCTTCACCTATTACATTGTAAAGGCTCTCTTTTATTGTGTTTCTATTATATTTTAGTTTGTTTTTATCCTTCACCCACTATATTGTGAAGGCCTTTTTTATAGTATTTTGGTTATATTTTTGTTTGGTTTTTATCCTTCACTCATTACGTTGTGAAGGCTTTTTTTTATTATATTTTAGTTATACTACTTTATTATCATTCTTGAGTATTCTCTTTTAGGTTTCTTGTGTTTTATCCTGTATTTTGTTTTAGTTATTGTATCAGTTTATTTTGTCATTTTACATATTCTTTGCCCTCTATATGTTAAGTCAAGTGATATAGTTAACCGATCTAGATTATTTATATTACAATATAAAGACAGAAGACTGTTTAATTTCTGGAACTTAAAAATATATTGCACGAATAGGTCCTTTAAAGCCAAGAAAAAATATCAATTACTGATGCAATTTTAGTAGAAAAGGCAAAGGCCTTTGCTAAAATATTAAATATACCTAATACTAGTTTCAAATTCTTAAACAGCTAGTTGGCCAAGTTCAAAAAATGAAATAATATAGTGTATATATTAAAGCATAGAAAAAAAGCCTCTGCAGATCGTATAGCTATTGCTTTTACTATCTTTAAATTAAGAGAATTGTTAAAAAAAATACAAATTAAAAGATATATATAATATGAATAAAATGAGTTTATTCTATCAGTATAAATAAGCTATATTATTCTTGTATATAACTTGTATTTATAGACTTTTTTTTTTTTTTTTTAGTCTTGAGCCAGATTTCACGTTAGCAACTAAAAGTTTCAAAAAAAGAAACAAAAAATAAAGAGCATTTAACTATAGCTCTTTGTGTCAATGTAGATGGGTCAGACAAAATAAAACCTCTTGTTATTAGAAAATATCCTAACTCTTACTACTTTAAAGAAATCAAATACAAGAATTTCAATGCTATGTATGAATTAAGTGATAAAGCATAGATGACAACCATAATATTTTGACAATGCGTATTAAATATATTTTTTTAGAACATCACTCTCTCCGCTAATTATTTGTACCAAATTGCGGCAAAAGGAAAATTAGTCATAAAACACTTTTAGATATAGGAAACAATACAAAGTAGTCTAAGTAAAAAGGAAGGGCATCTAAAAATACATATAATTTGTTAGAACAGCAACAAAGTTTTTATTACAAGTATTAGAACCTTTTTTGGTTGAAGATATATTTTTTCTAAAAAACCACTTTTGAAAAACTTTTTTCTGTTTTTTTTGGAGACACACCTAGACCCTGAATTGCAAATCACTATAAGACGCATAATCTAGTAAACAAACAAACAAACAAACAACACGCGTATAAACAAACAAACAAACAATTCATCATGTGTTCACTTATAGCAAAACAAAAGTATATTCTAGAAATTTCGAAAAGATAATCATACAACATACACATAGCGCAGATATAATAGTCAAATACTGAACACATGGATCTAATACTGATTAAAGATTTTGTCTTGGCATCGCAGAGTAAACAACAAGAAATACTTGCAGAGCAAAGTAAATTTACATTAAATATAGATCGAAATATAGCAAGATACCTTGGGTATCAAGATCCAGCATTTATAACAACAATCCGCAGCGCAATTGAAACTCATAAATGGGCATTGTGTAAAGCTGATCAGAATAAAAAATTGTCAGTCGAGGAACTGGTAAAGTAACTGAGGTTACAACAAGTATGAAAAAAGAAAGACTTAAACTAAGTGAGGAGAAAAGATTAAAAATACTATGTACCTCAACAAAAATGAAACTTGATATAAAAGAAAAAGAACCAAACATCCGAGAAGAAACTTTAAAAAGGAAACGTGAAATAGCAGATAATGCAGAAGATTTAACTGCTAGAAAAAAAGAAGAAACAGTTTTATTAAGATTAGCAGAAATGAACCTTAATGAAAGTGAAATGGAAGTATTAAAAAAAGATAATACAGAAGATGCAAAAACTAAAGCAACGTTAATTTATACTAAGTTTGAACAAGAAAATCATACAATACAAGAAGTAAAAGAATGGATAAGTATAGTTAAGAAAAAAGAAGAATTGAATGAAAAAGAGAGTAAAACAGGAGAGGATAATTCTTTAAATAGAAGTGAAGATATAAATAAATCTATATGAGTACATAAGAATAGCTCTAGACAAGAGATTATATCAGGAGAAAACCTCAAAAACAACAAGAAAGAAGACTCTCACAAAGAAGTGAATCTAACCATATGAGACCTACCTGTATTAGCAAGAACAGGAAATATAAAAAGGTGTTTGAAAAACATAGGTTTGTAGAAAGCATTGAGTGGCGTATCTCAGCAGAATGTAAAGCTGCTCATGTCAGAGTTAGATATACAAATGAGGAAAAAAAGCACCTCCTTATGAATACTTGGACAATTCACTATGAAATGAGAAAAACAGTAAGAGTAACAAGCGGCAGATTTAACAAAAGAGAATTGGGGTTCAAAAACAAATTCAAACTTATATTAAGAGGGTGCTACATAATACATGTGAAGCAATATTACTTCACCAACTTAGAAGCTTCAAAGTAAAAATGGTATATATACCAGACAACAGAAATGGCAATCAGAGAGAAGTGGCATTTACATATTTTGCATCAATGTTAGATTTACAAAAAGCAAAATCAACAAATCCATATTATTATAATCATCGAATGAAGTGAGATGAAAATCATCGTTATAGAGAGAATTGCTTGGTCGATAATAAAGAGAATCAAGAGAGGAAAGAATATGTAAAGAAGAGCATATATAAAAGTGAATTTCATACACACAAGCAACAGGCAAATAGAAATTAGAGCCCAAAAAAAAGTATTCACACCAATAGAACCGTTACAAATAGCGAAAGAAGTAGTACACGAGCCAGAAGTGGTACTAGAAAGCCCCTTGCCAATATAGATAATATAAATTTATCTCAGAGATTAGAACTTGCAACAGGATCAAATAGATTTTCAATCGCCGATCAGAAAGAAAAGAAAACTGAAAAGCAAGAAGCAAACGAGTTAAAGAAAATTCTTGCAGAAATGAGACACAAGTTTAAAGCAATAGAGCAGATAATTGCAATGCATTCCTGAAAGGCACTACGGGCAAATCAAGCAATATGGGCATAGCAGAAACCCTCACTTCTGTCTTAAGAGTGCCCAAAACACAAGAACAATGTGAGGATTCAGATAGAAAAACAAAGAGTAATAGCTATGGGCAGCTTAGTTTAGAGTTTCATAATATAAATAGTTTAAAGTTGAATGAGCAAAAATTAAAGAACTTAGCAGCTTTAGATAAAGAAGAGAGTTTGGACATTATTGGGATGGCAGAAACTAATATAAATGAGGAAAAGAGTAAATAAATAGACATAGAAGAATTTGGGTATGCAAGCTTTTGGTCAACAAAAGAAGTGGATAAGTTAAAAGGGTTAGGAGTAGGGGCTTTAGTTAGTAAGAACTGGTCAAGACATTTAGCTATAGTTAGAAGATACAATTTATACATGATAAAGTTAGAGTTTTTCTTTAAAAAAGCAATTATGCAGATATGGGTAATATATTTGCCACTAGCAGATAAAAAAATTAACAAGGAGGTGCAACG